GGCTAGTTTGCGCTAATAGGGCCTAGGTTGCGCTTAGCGCGCAAAGAATTGGCTATAGTAGCCACATCTAAGAGCTAAGGGGAAAATCCTCGCGCGTCTAGCTTAAGAATATGTTTAACAATTACTTTCTCCTTGTTGTTGTCTAGCTTCTGCAAGTTAGCTATAGAATTAGCGCGTGAAGGTTGTCCTGCGCGTTGCTTGCTTAGTGTAGCTTAAGGAACTCTGTAGATAGCTGCAGCACGTTGCGAAGAGAGTGTTGCGTCTTATTTAAGAGCCTAGAGCGCAAGCTGTATCTAAGCTTCTTTTAACGCGTCTGAATAGTGTTGTTGTAAAGATATTGGTGTAGGAAGAGTGGTTTGGTGGGGGCTTGGCAAAAGTGATTCTCTCGCCCGTTGATTCTTTCGCCCGTGGGGTACGTTATATATTAATAGAGTAGATAAAGCAGTATCTTAAGTATCTACTTTGCACGTACGTGAGTTATGGCCAGTCTCTCTGCACCTCCTGCAGCGCGCTAGAGCCTGGCGGCTAAGGCCTAATTGATCTCCTCCTTGACGCTGCTCAAAAGCAATCTGCTAGTCAGCCTCACGTTAGGTGAGTAGATTCTCTCCAGCTCCCTTTATTAAGACCCCACTCTGCTGTATACGCTTCTTCTTACGCTGTTTACGTGCTGACACTGCCTTATTAGCTCTCTTAAGGCTAGTAATATAATCACGCATTAGCTTAGCTGAGAGCATTATTACCTTAGTGCCCTTCTTAAGCTAGTTAATTGCTTTAATAATTAAGGCAGGTAATAAGCTCTTGTGCTGGTGTATGTAATTATATATTAATATTAATTAAGCCTTAAGCTTATATATGTTGCTTAGTGTACAAGCCTCCTGGAGAGCCTCTGGCAGAGCAACTAGAGTAGGCGTATGTAGCTGCACATTAAGCTTTAATAGAACAACATCTGCCTAGAGAGGAACAAAGCCTGCGCCTCTAAATACTAAGTAGACATTGTCTAGTGTAAATAATTGTGTAAAGGCTGCCTTAAACGCTAGCAGACACTTAAGCTTAGTAATATAGTTAATATAGTAGTAGATTAGGCTCTTAACCTTATAGCTATATGCACACTTTAATAGCAAGAAGTAGCTAATATTAGGAGGCTAAAGTAGATAAGATAAGTAAAGTAAGTATAACGTACTCCACAAGCATGCCGGTCACCCAAGTGTACCGGTCACTTTTGCCAAGACCACACCAAACTTCACTCTACTAACAATGCCTCAACGCAGCAATATGAAAAAGCTCTCTAATGAAGCAGACATACAGCTTGCTTCCAGGCTATCTAACAAGACGCGACGCTCTCTCAGCGACGCGCTGCAGCAATCTACAACGTCTCTCAAAGCACGCTTAGTGACCAACTTGCTAGAGCCACCCTACGCTGCGACTACACACCTAATACTATAAATCTTACAAAGAATGAAGAGGAGGTAATTGTCTAGCACGTGTTGAGGCTAGACGAGCAACGATACTCGCCCTGGCTTGCTGATGTAGAGGATATGGCCAATTCTCTGCTTGCTGAGCGCCACTAGCCCTATATTGGCAAGAACTAGGCTGCTAACTTTGTTAAACATCAGCTAGAGCTTAAAGTTAAATTTAATTGCAAGTACAACTATAAGAGAGCTCTGTGTAAGGATCCTAAGGTAATGAGGGACTAGTTCTAACTAGTAGAGAATACTAAAGCTAAGTATGACCTGTTTTATCAGTGAGCGCCCCACCTCAGTGAGCGCCCCACGAACACCAGCAAAGCGCATGCGCGACACTCAACGCGTAATGTCTTAACAACCACAACCTCACAAGCCCTATACTAAAGCTGACGTGCAGCTTGCCCTCTCTAACATTAAATGCAACTAGATTACAAGCCTGCAACGTGCTAAGGCAGTCTACAGTATTCCTTGTAGGACAATACAACAACAACGTGACAGGAAGCCCTCTAGACATAACTGCAAGCCTAGATTAAAGCGCCTAACAAAGCTAGAAGAGGAGGTAATTCTGCAGTGTATACTTAATAAGAACCTACGTGGAGTACTGCCCTTAAAGCTACACGTACAAGATATAGCTGATAGACTGCTGCGCGACTGCGGCAGTGAGCCTGTTAGTAAATGCTAGGTTGACAGGTTTATTAAGCGTACACCTAAGCTGCGCACGCGCTAGACTTGTCTATACAATTACTAGCAAGCTCTCTACAAAGACCTAGTAATTATTAAGCCCTAGTTCACGCTAGTTTAGAATATAAAGGCAAAGTATAGTATTATAGACAATAATATATATAACTTTAACAAGTCTAGCTTCCTAATAGGCAAGATATCTTTATAACTTGTTGTAACAGGCATAGAGAAACCTAGGAAAGCAAAGAAGCTTTAGCCTAGTAATTGTAAGTAGACTATATTAATACAGGGTGTTAGCGTAATAGGGTGTGTTATCCTACCCTTCCTTATCTTTACTAGCAAGGTTCTTATCTCTAACTAGTTTACTAAGGACCTCCTACGCAATTAGGTTATTTAAGTAAGCCTAACAGGCTAGACAAACAACAATCTAGCGCTTGCCTAGCTTGATTACTTTAATACGCATGCAAGGCCTGTAGTGTAACGGTCTAGACTCTAAAGCTAAAGAAGAGCTAGAGCTAGCCGGTTACATTAGCTTAGCCGGCTTGGCTAAAGCTGGATATATATTATCTACGCAGTTAACTAGACGTCTAGTTAACTTGTGCATGCTTTTTAGCAAAAGTTGTTAGGAAGTAGATATCCTTTATTGGCCTTTGGCCAGACTACTACATGTAGGAGCGTATAGGCTGCTAATTATCAACAGCCACAAGAGCCATTGCTTGATAGATTTCCAGGATTGCTGCAAGGAGAAGAAGATTATTGCCCTCTGTACCGTGTCCGCCGGGCTCGTGCACGGCTCGGGCTCATGCACGCGATCACCAAAACATCCCAAAATCCTCAACACTATAACTCCACTAAATAGACTCTGTTTCCCTAGCTATTAAAAAGGCACGCACAGCAAGCTAAGATAGATTATTTTTGTACTAGGAGGTTGCTGATGCAATAAATGTGTTGCAATTAACAGTGTTGTAGAGGGCAAGAGGCGTAACTACATTACGTGCAGACGCCTATTAACAACTACAAAAACTCACAATAGAACAGGAATATAAGCTTGCTGCTTATATAGAAGACCTTATAGAGCGTCACCTAGCACCTAAAAGGCAAATAATACAAGATTTTGCGTCTAAACTTGCTCACAAGAGCGTTGGCAACACCTAGGTGTCTGACTTCCTGCACTGTCACACTAAGACTCTCCTATACAAATAGAGCCACGCTATAGATCGCCAGCGCCACTACGCCTCATTAGAGGATAAGTACAAGCGCTATTTTAATACGCTATACTCTGCAATTAAAAAATACAACATCCTGCCCTGCAACACGTACAATATAGACAAGAAAGGCTTCGCTATAGGCCTTATTAGAAGGAGCAAGTGCGTGTTCTCTAAGCACTTATTTGAGCAAGGAAAGGTTACACAAGCGCTACAGGATGGCAACAGAGAGTGGGTGATACTGCTGGCAAGCGTGTGCGCTGACGGGAGTGCTCTGCCTCTAGGCATCATTTTTACGGGCGCCGACAACACTATACAGAGTACATAGGTGGAGGATATAGAAGAAGGAAAACACAGCGTCTTTGTCACTGCAAATCCCTCAGGCTGGACAAACAACAGTGTAGGATTAGCGTGGGTTGAGCAGCTGTTTGACCGCTACACCAAGAAGAAAGCGCGCAGAAGCTGGCGATTGCTCATTGTCGATGGCCACGGCTCTCATTTGACGATGGCTTTCATCGATTACTGCGATCGCCACCGGATTCTGCTACTAATCTTTCCTCCACACGCTACACATGTGCTTCAGCTGCTCGACGTAGTGCTGTTTGCTCCTCTTGCTACTCAGTACTCTGCCGCCGCTGTATCGCACCTTCACAATAGCCAAGGCTTGTTAGGGGTGCATAAGAGCGACTTCTTCCGCCTATTCTATAAGGCGTGGGAGTCTACTTTCTAACTAGAACTTATACTCAGCTCCTTTGTTAACACAGGCATCTTTCTGCAGAATCTAAGCATTATACTTAAGCAATTTAAGCAACAAGGCAACAGCAAGCTAAGTACACCTCTAGCTTTTGCTAGTAATAATTAGTAATTAATTAACTAGCTCTTTAAGTCTATTGTGGTGGAGGACAACTCTAAGCCAGCAAAGCAATTAAGGCAGATTCTCTACTACATCTCTACTTAAAACGTGCTTCTAGAGACTAAAAATAACAGACTCTACAGTATAATTACACACTTAAACCCCTTAAAAAAGAAACAGAGGACTCTTAACTTATAGCAGGATAAGAAGTATAAGTCTAATACCACGCTCTATAGTCCTTATAAAGTACGTAAAGCCTAATAAGAAGTTTATAATAATAAATAATAATAACTTAAAGAAAGAATTGCTAAGTATTATAGGAAGGAGTAATAAGCGCAAACTGCCCTTTAGAACAAGTTAGAGAAAGAGAGACACTCTATTACGTACAAGAATTGCCTTAAGACGTCACAGGCAAAAAGAGAGGTAGAGGCTACTAAGAAAGAGCGTCTTAATTAAGAATATAACGCAGCAAAAGCTATACAATTATCTTAATTAGGTAATCGCACAATATTAAAAAAGACACAGAAGAAGCCTTAGAAGCAACAGAGGCTTTGTGTGGGTGCTAGGCGTGGTGTTGTTGTAGAGGAGCTAGCACCTGCACCTTGTACTCACACCACCCGCAGCAGCTGCACCACAACTTAGAATTATTAATAGAGCTTGCAATAACGTACTCCACGGGTGAGTCGTTCATACGGGTGAGTCGTTCATACTGCCAAGACCACACCAAACCTCCACCCTATTATGGCTCGCATTGGCCTACTTTGGCCTTGTTTACACTGGTACAGCATGTAATATTATTCAGCAACAGCTTCTACAGGCTTTTTACACGTACGCGAGTTATGCCCTACCTTATAACACTGTTTACAGCGTCGCGCCTTAGAAGCCTCCTTAGATATTGCTAGGAGTAAATAACTCCTTGTAGGCGCCTATAAAGCATGGCAGGAACTCAGTTTTGGTAATATGCGTGATTCTGTTGCGTATAAGATCCTTAGCTTAGCGCCTATACGCCTTCTTTAAAGGGGCAAAACAACCTACATCTAGTAGCTGCAAGAGGTGTAATAAGTGTAGAGGCATACACAGTGTAATAATGTTTGCTTCCTTACAGTATTGTTAGAAGTCTAGGGAGTTATAGCTCTTATAGCTGTTAATAAGGAGCAGCTAGTACACTCCTTAGGTGCGTGTCTTTACATAGGCATTAAAGTGCTTTAACTAGTTAAGACTAAGCTAGTTAGTAGTCTATCTATTCTTAGAGACTCTAATAACCTAGTTGTAGGGCAGATTGTCCTCTTTGTACTAGGCAGAGAGGTAGTTGCAGCCTTTAAAGATGATGAAGGGCAGAATGGCCTATCCTGTGCTATTAATGCCCTGTATGACTGTTGTCCACTCCTGGTTGCCCTGCTGCACTGCCTTTGGCCGTCTGCGACGCTCTAAGCCTGTAACAACTACTCCTGTTAATATCTAGCCTATTATGAAGCCTGTCTTATTAAAGTTGTACGTGTTATTATCCTAGATGCTATACTTAGCTTTAGTATTCTCTACTAGGCAGAACTAGCCCCTAATAACCTTAGGGTCCTTACACAGGGCTCTCTTGTAGTTATACTTGCGATTAAACTTGACTTAGAGGTCAGGGCAGTGCTTAACAAACGTATTAGGCTAGTTTATACTAACATGGGCCATATTACGCTTAGCGCGCAAAGAATTGGCCATATCAGCTACAGCAGCCAATTGAGGGGCAAGTCCTCTGGCATCTAGCTTAAGTATGTACTTAGCAATCACATCCTCCTCAGTCTAATCTATATTCCGTGATTTTGGCGTGCAATTGGCTTGTGCAGTGTGTCCTGCGTATCGATCGCGTAGCGTGTTGTAAGGCGCGTTATATATAGCTGCAGCGCGTCGCAGAGTGAGCGTCGCGTCTTGTTTAACTGCCTGAAGCGCAAGCTGTATTGCAGCTTCTTTAAAGGGCTTAGATTTTTGTTGTTGTTGAGGCATTGCGTTGTGAAGTAGAATGTTGGTGTGGTCTTGGCAGTATGAACGACTCACCTGTATGAACGACTCACCCGTGGAGTACGTTATTACCATATAAGTTTGTAGATAACCTAAACTATCACCGAGTGTCCCACATCACCGAGTGTCCCAAAATCTCTTGGCAGCCTTAACCTATGCTACAACTCCTTAATTTCATTGCTATTAAATAGGGAGCCTGTATATATTGTACTAGCATCTAATTCTAAGGACACCTCTATATCCTTTTTACACGTTCGCGCATTGTGCCTAGTCCTACTACAGTTCCTACAGCGCCAAAGAGCTAGTTAGGCTAGTTCTTAACTACTACCACCATAAGCCTTCTTAGATCGCTAAGGCGCTATAGATGCCTTAGCAGCTACCTGCGCTGCAGCAGTCCCATACTCCATAGTACTACCCTGCTAAATCTGCTTGCGCTTACGCGATTTTCGCTTAGTCATCTCTGCTAATTGCTCTTCAAGCTTATAGATCTAAGCATATTAAAGCGCATTTTTATGTAGTATTAGCTCACCACCTTTTATAAGCTAGGAGAAACTAGCCTAAGCTGTAACAGGTAAGCAAGTAAAGGAATTGTATACAAGCTTTAATTAAGATCTAAACTTATAGGTATTGCTTAGAGTCTTTAACTGCTATAGCGTCTCTAGGAGGAGGGGTTCTAGTAGGGTACGCAGCTGCACTTTAAGGCAATCTAATACAACCTGCGCATTAATTAGGACTAGCCCTACTGCCTTAAAAGCCTTTTAACAGTTCTGCTCTATAAATATATTAAAAAACACGTCCTTAAAGGTAGGGAGGAAGCCTTCTTTGTTAATATAGAAGACGCGTTGGCGTGCCAAGTCTCTAACGCGCTGGGAGTACCTGCACTTTAGCAGCAAGAAGCAGACCACATCAAGCAGCTAGACAATGTGCAATGAATAGGGGGGCATATAGAGGGTTAGGATCTTGTGTTTAAGGCAGTAGTCCTTAAAATACTAGTTAAGGTAGCTCTTATAGCTGTCTAAAATAAGCAGCTAGTACCCCCCTACCTAGCGCGTCTTTGTATGCGTGTTAAAGTGCTTTAACTACTCTAGACTAAGCATGTTGTTTGTCTAGCTATTCTTAGAGACTAAGAGCTTCTAATTACGCAGTATTAAAGCCTCCTTATACTAGGCAGAGATGTAGACGCGTCCCTTGTAGATAATAAAGGGCAGGGTTGCGCACCCAGCAGCGCAGATGCTCTAGATAACTGTAACCTACTTGCGATCACCTGGCTAAACAAGCGCAGGTTAGGCGCGTCTCTCTGCACCTGTGACAACCTTTATAGAGCTAATTACGCCTATCTAGAAGCTAGTCTTATTAAAGTTGTGCATGTTGTTATTATAGACGCTATACTTAGCTTTAGTCTCCTCTACTAGCTTAAACCATGCGCTAATTATCTCTAGATCCTCCTAGAGTATTCTCTGCCTATCCTTTGCTTAATTAAAGGCTATTTTAAGCTCAGGCAAGCGCGTTACAAAGCGATCAGCCTAGCACTTGCTAATAGGCTTGCCACCGCGTACAGCCAGCAGTTTATTAGCTATATCTGCCACCTCGCACAGCTAGGGCGCAAATCCTTGCAAGTCAAGGTTGAGTATGTATCAGATAATTGTCTGCTGTTTAGTCGCAGTAAGCTTCTAGCAGTTAGGGGCAGCTTCTGCGCGAAATATGAGTCCTTAGACGCAATAAGAGAGTGTATAGTGATTAATGTTAAATGCCTCTGCAGCAGCCTGGTGGCTTTAGAATTGTCTAGATTTCAAGGCTTTAATAGCAAGCTAAAGCCTCCCTTTATGTTCAAGTAATAACGCGTTTAGTAGTTAAGGCATGTTAGAGAGAGAGAGTAGGTAGAGGTAGACTGGCGGATGGGTACCATGTACCTAGGGTAGGGTATAGGTAGGGTATAGGTCGCACGGACGTAGGTATAGGTAGGGTAGGGTCGCACGGACCATAGGTATAGGTAGGGTAGGGTTGCACGGATTATAGGTAGGGTAGGGTAGCACGTGACTGGGTATAGGTATAGGTAGGGTAGCACGTGCTAGGTATAGGTTTGGTTTGGGTATATTACTAACCTAGTTTGTATACAACTAACCCTAGGTTGTACTAGTAGATTCTTTCGCATACACAATACTTAGAAGAAAAAGCATCTATAATT